AACCAAACCCAAAACAAAAAACGACAAGCACAATTATCGGATTACTGGCTAAGTAACACAAGAAACAGGTACTAAATACTTCAAGAAAATGAAGAAAATCATAGTGAAGAAAAAAACAACGAAGCAAGTAAGTTGAAAAGCAAATCCCCTACGACCTTCGTTTACAATTTAGAGAATATTAAACTGTTAGAAAATCTACTGAACTCAATAGCCAAAGAAAATTACACCTTTAAAGTGATAGGTTTGAAAAAATTAAAATTCAGTCAACAACTTCCGAAAAATATTTGCCAATCATTACTGCATTCAACGAAAGAAACACGCAATTTTACACTTACGAACGCAAAGAAGAAAAAGGTTTCAAAGTTATATTAAGAAGTATTCACCCGTCAGTTGTTAAAAATGAATTAAAAACAGCCATAGAAGAACATGGATATAAAATATGAAGTATTCATGATATAAGGCATCACATTACAAAACTACCATTGTCGCTATTCACAGTTGAAACTGAACATGATTATAAAAGCCAGGACATTTTTAAAGTAAACCGACTATCAAACACGATAATAAAATTCGAGCCATCGAACGTTAAAAGAGAAATTCCTCAATGTCAAAACTGCCAAGAATACAGGCATACAAAAAACAATTGTTACATGTGCTGTGTGTGAAATGTGCTTAACAATACCAAATTAAAGAATGTCAAATTAAACAAAAAATAAAAGAAATAAGATTTGCAAATTATAAAGAAAATCACACCGCAAATTACAAAAGATGCCCAGTTTATAAGCAATTACAGCAAAAACTATTTCTTAGACTAAGAGAAAAAAACATTAAATCAAAACAGTATTCAAGTCCATCAAAATTCAAATTTAAATTTCAATACTAACGTTAATAGAGTTAGACCAAATATAACATATGTACAGGTAATAAAATCACAACGATCAGAGAGAGATAGAAATATCAAAGCAGTTGTTCAAGTTGTTCACATGTTTGATAAATCTAAATCAGATAATTCGCCGGTAGTGATTACTTTACACCACCTAATATTTAATAAAGTATCTACTTTTAGCGATCAATGTTCAGCTGTGCCATCACTAGCACACACTTCCAATATTTAATAAAGTAAACAATAACATAAAAATTGACTGGGAAAAATATGCTCTTTACATAGAGGAACGCATAACGTCCAATGTATCTCTTAAAACAAATAAAATAATAATATAGAAAGCAGCATCAACTTACTCAAAGTAATTCTAACTGAAACTATTAAAAAATGCTCTACTACAATAAATAGAAATTAAACACAGCAAATCACGTCCACTAAAATAATCGAAAAAATCAAAGAAAAGAGATTGTTAAGAAAAAAGTATCAAATAACTAGATAGAGTCAAAACAAAACTAAAGTGAATAAAGCAACCAAAGATTTAAAGGAAATGTTATATGAAGAAAAAAACACACAAACGTAGAATTATCTCAGATCACTGAGCCCTACAGAAACAACAGATTATTCATTACGGAAAGCTACTAAACAACTTAAAAAACCAACTACATTTATACCGTCTATCAGAATCCCTGGTAGTAACTGGACAAAATCAGACAAGGAAAAGGCTGAAACGTTCGCAAATCATCTTAGTGCAGTATTAAAGCCTCGCTAAAGAATAATGACTGAAGAAGAAGAAATCTTACTAGAAAGTCTGACGTCCAAGGCAGTATACCAATTAAACATGATTAAAATAAAGGAAGTATTACAAATTATTAATAATATTCAAAATAGAACAGCTCGCGGTTCTGAAATTATCACAGAAAAAATTATCAAAATGTTACCCTCAATTGCAATAAGATACCTAACAATTATTTTCAATACATGCTTGCGTCTCTACTATTTTTCTTCCTAGTGAAAAGTAGCACAGATTATTTTAATACCTAAACCCGATAAGAATCAGAATTTGTAACATCATATAGACCGATTAGCATTTTATCAGTACTTTCTAAAACCTTTAAAATTCTAGCTAGAATTAACTCAATAATACGAGTACTAAATAAAAAACTTATCCCTGACCTTCAATTCGGTTTGACGTGTAATCACTCCATAATTGAGCAAGTAAATAAATACTATCTGTAGCGAGGAAAGCCATCGAAGATAACAAATACTGCACTGGTATATTACTGGATGTTATTTAGGCTTTTGACTTTTGACAAGATTTGGCATACAGGGCTATTGTATTGAAGAGATTTTTTTCTCAGTCCCACTATGAATTGTTACAGTCTTACCTACAGAATAGAGATTATCAAGTTAAAATTAATAAAAACGTATCAAAACATCAGTTAATAAAAGCAGGAGTACTACAGGGTACTGTTCTAGGTACAATATTATATCTGTTATATACCTCGGACTTACCAAAGTCTATTAATATCTTAACAACAACATATACAGATGATACAGGAATTTTAACAGTACACCCAAACAGTAACTTAACAGTAAACCAAAACATTACAAAACTATTTAAACACTCACCTTCAAAATTGGATTAACTCCTGGAGAATAATAGTAAATGAAAGAAAATCAATACATACGACATTAACATGATCAATTTTGTAATGATGGAAAGAAGGGAAATAATGATAAATGGAAAATCACTTAATTTTAATTACATTCAGCAACGTTTCGTCAGCACATTTGCTGACCTCTTCAGGCTTTATTAATAGAAAAACAACAAATTATTAACAATAGAGTTTGCACAAGTAATTTTAATAGTATATAATTACAGTCGAACCTCCATAACTCGAACTGCAAGGGACCGAGACATAAGTTCGAGTTATATAGGTGTTCGAGTTATAGAGGTGTTCGAGTTAGGGAGGGGGAGGTTCGACTTGTTGTATGTATGTACATTGTGACAGAGAATCTCGGCTAGGCCGATCTCGTCCGTTTAGCTCTCGCAAATGTCCGTGCGCCGCGCCAGGCTGAGAGTGTGTACGTTTGGCACACACACTCATGCTTGGACCTTTTGTTTACGAGGTGCTGAACACGGGCTGAGCTGACTGCTGGAGCGACGCAGATGGCGCAGAAGAAGAGAGAAAGAGAGAGAGAGAGGGCGCTCGAATTGCCGATTCGCCGCGGAAAATTCGAGAGTCTCTGCTAGGCTTTGGGCCGAGAAGGTCGTGCGCGCGGATTAACCGAAAGGTCGCGGTTTTTCCGAGTTGGCCTCACGACCTCGCCGACGTTTTGTTCGTTCCGGAGACACGCCCGGTGCGCGGACGAGTGATAGAGCGTGAGGCTGGGTCGCGCCCAGCCGTGTCCCACAAGATACCCGGCACCGGTGCGTGCGGGTAACCGGCGAGGTGCGCGGGCGAGCGCGCGAGGAATTTGGACGTGCTACAGCACCGAGCAACAGGGAGGAGGCGGAGACAACAACAGCAGCAATCAACGAGCGAGTTTCGGATTGAGAGAGCAGCATCGTAGAGCAAGCGAGAGAACGAGCGAGGAGATAGATAGCGACGACAACAAACATCAGCGAGACGGTCAGCGAGGAGCGCACCAGTGACGTCACGCGGTGGAGCATTCTGGCCGTCAGAAAGGCTGAAGGTCGAGGTCGGTGCCGTGTTTTCCTCTTATCTCTCTCTCTTGCATGTTTGGGCGTCAGTCTATGGTTGGTAGCACAGCAGACCTGCTGGCTACCCGTTAATGGTCTATCACCGAAAAGTGTTTGTCGGGCATTTGTATGATATCTAGTCTTTATAAGGGAATCGGCAGGCTGACCAGCCACCGATTCACCTTCGCGTTCGCGTTTATTATTGTACCGCTCGTAGTGTGTAAGTCCGAGGTTGCCGTATTGTAATCGTTTGTTGACAATTAAAGGCTAGCGTATTAATCCGCTGTTGTGTTTATTCGCCGCTGTATCACTCCTCATCCCGACTTCGAATCTGTGCGTTTAACGTTTTATGCTCGACGCGTTATTCAGTCGTGGGAACGTCTTTTGCTTCCCGAATCCCCGAATAAATAATTTGTGCGGACGGTCGCGAGCAACCCAGACGGGTACGGCCGGAATTCTCCGTTACAACATATAAAGATGATTTATGACATAAAAATATAAAAAAATAAAATTCAATCATAAATAGTTACAATAAGAACAATATACATACAGATATATTCAAATAAATGTTTATATAAAATAATTTTTCATGAATTATTTGTTTAACGTTTGAATAATTGTTGGTCCTTAGAAGGACCGATTGTTTATAATGTGAGGAGGAGGGGGGGGGGGATTTTATTTTTTTGTGAAGAAGTCAGAAATGCTTAATTGCTTTAAACTGGCAATTTTCTCTTTCGTTGTAAATTTATCAAGTTAGCTGAGAGCCACAATTTCTTCATTCACATCTAAGCGAGATTCAGCAAACACTCTAAATTTTTCAAGACATTCCAAAGCTTCACTGGGGGATAGAACTACTGGAAATGGTTCTTGATTTTTTCCTTCTTCTTCATCGGGTAACTGTGGAGTTGACTTCTTCTAAAATTTCGGAGTCCGTAAGCTCGCCACAAATAGCTACGTCTTCATCGATCCTCACATACTCCTCACCCAACTTCGGTTCTTCAAGTAGGCTTTCTTCGGCGATGACGGTGTTCTCTTTTGCAACAGGAAATCCTGCTTTTTCAAATCCATTTCTAATTGTTTGTGCACTGATTTCTTACCACGCTTCCGCACACATCCTTAAAGCTTGTAAAACGTTGATTTTCACCTGAATTCTGCTCGATGTTGCATTTTCATTCTAGACGTCGCGCACTAAAATCGACCGATAAGGGCTCTTGAAGGAATTGATGATCCCCTGGTCCATTGGCTGGAGAACAGACGTCGTGTTTGGCGGCAGAAATAGAACGTCGATATTTCGTAGTTCTGGGATTGATCCATGGGCACTGCAATTATCGATGAAAAGTAGAATTTTCCTTCTCTCTCTGGAAAATTTGCTATCTAACTTGAGGAACCATTTCTCAAAAATATCGCGAGCATCTATGCCTTATTGTTAGACTCATACTCGCATGGCTTCGTTTTAAAGTTCTTAAAACATCGGGGATTGACGGATTTCCCAATCGTTAGAAGCGAAAGCTTCTCAATGTCATCAGAATTAGCTCCAACAAGAACCGTGATGCGAACTTTATTTAGCTTGCCATTGCTACAATTTTCTCCCTTGGAAGCTAACGTTTTATTAGGCGAACATTCATAAAAAAGAGCCGTTTCGTCAGCGTTAAAGATGTCCCTGTGGTCGACACCTCTAATTTTCTCCAAGAGATTCTCTGTCCATTCTTCTGCTACTTTCATATGGACTGCTGCATTTTCCCCACACACTTTTTTCGCAATAATGTTGTGACGCTGTTTGAACGTCTGCAACCAACCATTACTTGCCTTGAAGTTAGAACAATCCAAAGTGCTAGCGAACTCTTGAGCTTCGCCTGAAGTATCGGGCTACTGACGGGGATCTTCTTATCGCGAGTTTGTTTAAGCCACTTCGTTACACATCCATTTAATTCCTCATTCGTTGTCTCTCGGCATCTTCTTCTACTCTGATTCGCCTGAGAATTCGAATAATGTTGAATAATTTTATCCTTATTTTTCAGATAAGTGGAAAGAGTATTCCGAGGAATTCCGAAATCAGCAGCAATTTCCGACTTTTTCTTCCCCCCTTTTTGAACTTCTCCAATCACAGCAACATTTTCAGCTAAAGTCAAAGTTTTCAAAGTTTTTTTAGTTGATGTGCTCAGAATACAAGTCATTTTGTAACTGGCAAAAACACAAACGTAGATAAGTAATAAGGAACGTAGATAGAACGAAAATAAAAACTAAATTTAGAGACGTACTCAACGGACAACTGATGGAGACTGTTGCCTCTGCAGATTTTCGATTTCCTTTTAACGGTTCGAAGAACGGTGATTGCGATTAGTGTGGGGGAGGCAATGAAAACCAGCATACAATAAAAATTTCAATCATTCCAGCGACAACAAGTATGTATGTATGTAGAGCGAGGGTAATAAAATCGTCACAACAGTTTTGGGTAAAAACCCTGCACCACCTGAGCATCGCAATTATGTCCTGCCAGTTTGTGGGAAATCCAAGGAATCATCTATGCTCCCAAGTACGTGTGAGCACTTGGGAGTGGGAGTAGGGGCCAGGTAGGGCAATAAAGTTAGGGCGATTGTCGTTGGGAAAAACCCGGGGAATGCCCAGAGACGGTCGGCGCTCTATTCACGTTTAAAGCCTATGCAAAATTATGACCTCGAATTCGAAAAGTTCGATTTAGGGAGGTTCGAGTTAGAGGTTTTTTTTACATGTGTCAGTATAGGAAAGTCAAGGAAATAGGGCAAGAGTTCGAGTTAGAGAGGAATTCGAGTTATGGATGTTCGAGTTATGGAGGTTCGACTGTATATGTATATGTGTATACCTAATTTCTTTTACAGTAAAATTATGATAAACTAAAACGAATAGCTCGTAGCCAGTCACGTTACAATACAGTAAGAAATTAAGTATTTCAACACATATATACATTTTTCATCGATCATCCCTTCCTCATCGATCTTAACAAAGGCTTATAGATATGACTAAGATATTGTATATCCTCTTTTCTATTTAACGTTTTTTTACGTAAGCCAATATGTAACATTTCGGATATTCTTCGTTTTTTATAATTCTTTTCATGATCCAATATCTTAGCGTTTTCTTCTATGTGTAGCTACTACTATATCTGAATCAATGTTTTTTTTGTGTTCGTTTAATCTAATTTTTAAGGAACGTTTACTTTCACCTATATAGACCGATGAACATTGTTTGCAGTTAAAACTGTAGACAATACCAGTGTTGTCTAATAAATCAGATTTGTCTTTTCCTTAACGGATAAACTCTTGTAATGGTTTTTGTAATAAGGAGATAGACATAATGTTATGTTTTTTTAACACAGATGAACATTTTTGAAGATGTTGCAATTATTAGGAATAGCGACTGTAGGTAATTTTTTATTTTATAATTTTTTAGAATTATTATTCCCTTTTTTGTATTGCAACAGTAGTCGATTCAATTAATCGATCCGTTCGCGATTCTGTTACTCGCGCGTTGGTTCGAACGATTAAGAGAAAGAGAGGGCACGCGAGCGTTTGAAATAGTCAGTTACGCCTCAGCTGTTTTCGCGACAATACCGCCAAATTATATTGCCCTGAGTTCCGCCGTTTTATCAAGTTTTGCTGGAACGATTTTTACGTGCGAGAGTGCAGCAGAAAAAGCAGCAAGCAGCAGCAGTTTAGCAGCAGCAAATTGCAGCCGATTGAAGGGCGAGACAACGTAGCTGATTTATTGGAGGAGTATCGGCAGTTGATTCTTTCATCAACAATTACGGCTGATTACCATAATTTCACCGCAGGGTAGGTGCACCTCCCTCTATTATTGCGTGACAAAATACATTCGAAGGTAATTTGTTAATCGTGATATTGCACTTTTTTGTATTCGCGCCCAGCGTTAGTTTCGCGGTAATTTTCGAATCTTCTCTCTCACTCTCTCTCACCGAATATTAATAATTCATTGTAAATCCTATTCGCGTGCGTTAGTCTTTCGGCCCATAAAAGACTGTAGTTTTTATTAATTAAAGTTAGTTAATTTTATTCGCCGAATACGTCATTTCATTTCCTAGTAGCTTAAGCGATTTATAAACGCATAGGTTTTAATCCAATTTTATCTAGGGGATTAAGCGGATTAGGCATAAAGCCACTCACACCAAAGATATATCGAGTGTCACAAGTCAAATGACTTAAGGTGAGTTCAACTCAGCTAGAAAGAAGACACTAAAACGAAATCATCTGACGTAAAGGCGGATACACGTATAACTATACGTGTTTAACGAAGCGGCGGTTAGCTCTGCATCGTGGGAGTTTGTGCTTAAATAAATTTTCCATTTTGTTAGATAACCTCTTCCGTTACATGGCGCCCAACTGGTATTAAGACCCGTTTCGTGCAAATAGGATGGTGCGTCGAAGGTAATCGACGCATGAGAGAGAGAGAGACGATTGCGCGAACGCTTAAGAAGGTTTGAGCGGGTGGTAGCGCGAGATCATGAGCGGTACGCCCTCTGCAGGGGAAAAAATGAAATCACTTCAACTTGTTTACTTATAAATTGTTAAGTTTATTGTAAAAAGGGCCGAAAGCGATAATTATTAGTAAGTTGAAGTGATTTCAGATCGTTCGGATTAGTCAGATGTTAACTTATTTTAGCGATAGTTTGGTGGATAAAGGGGGGTTAGAAGCACCTGAACGACGATAAAGGCAGAGAGCGCGACCCAAGCGTGCAGTCCAGGAAATATTAGCCAGACAGAGCAAGTAACCAGCAGGCTCCGACCTTTGGTAGGATATTTCATAATATTATTAGATAGTTTGCGGAGACTACATGCACTCATAATCTCGCGAGTTTGTGCCTTATAAAAAGGAGGCATTAAGGATAGTTGCACTAAATAGTGTATACCCCGCTCATACCTTGGGTGATAGGAAGCGGTAGTGGACGATTAGGTCGATAATTTTAAACCTCGACCGCATCCTACACCCGTGTGGAAGCAAGATGGCTCTGTTGTCAGCTCAAGTCGACAATTGGGCATTAGAGCTGACCTCCGCATAGCGCGAACGCTATTTGGCGGATCTGGAGCTCCGCAAGGATGGAAGTGTCATCCAGCAGGCGGCTAGGCTTGGGAGATGGTTGCTAGGAGAGTACACTGTCACAGATTTTGAAGAGACCACACGCAGTAAAGAGGTGGGGATGGGGGGGGGTGACACGAGGCAAACCTGACAAGCGTGGTTCGATACAGTCTGTGACGAGTTGGAAAACCTCAGCGCAGATGAGAACAGCGACCATCCACTTGAGGATCATAAGCGGCACCAAGAACTGGTATTAAAGAGAATTGTAGGTGCGGGCCTAACCATCAACAAAGCCAAAAGCCATTTCTGCAAGACGGAAGTCAGATACTTGGGAGTTCTTGTGAACCAGGATGGAGTAAGACCATGTATATATATATATATATATATATATATATATATATATATAACGGTCCTATGTATGAGCTATTTATTAGATCACTGGATTACCGCAACCAGTCTAAAACATCTATCTGTTTATTCAAATCAATACATTAAGCGGAGCTACCTCACTGTTTACTCGATTGTATTCATTTCATAATCAAAATAAATAGCGTGACGTCAAAAAGTAATAGATGTAGATATAATGAATTTTGATATTAAGAAAAATATGTTAATTAGAGATAATTTTAATAGAACAAAGCATTTATTATACAGATTTTAGTACGTAGATTCAGAATATAATAACACAAATTGTATTTAATTATTGAATATTAATGAATTTTAATATGCAAAGTTGATTTATTTATTAAGCTAAAAATATGAATTATTAGAAAAATGTATATAATACATATGCTGTAACGGGGTAAAACCGTTTAATTATTTTATTCGCGCAATTACACTAAAAGGACGCGCGTAGTTAATTATGCTTAGTACGTAAATCGGGGAGCATGTGGAAACGTGCGTCAGTCAACCAGTAAGTCCTCTTATCCAAGGAAAGTGAGTGGAAGCTATGAGGTATAAGTGAATCGAAAAGCACTTGTTAGTAATACGAACTAGATCTTTTATTATTCCTCATAATCTACAGAAGGTCGGCCCGCGCGTTTGTTTACATTGACGCTCGCTCGTCGGCAACACGTATTGCCGGGACGCTCGCTGCTCTTTGTTGTCAGAGCCGTTACTCGCACGCTTCGGATATCGGAAATTAATTATCAATCATGCAATCGCGATCGCGAAATTAAGCTGGCCAGCTTACCTTATATCTGCAGGCGATCGGAGAAAACACAAATAACTCGCACAGAGCGGAACAGTTTCTATTGTCTATTTCGCGAGTCGCGAGTTCGCGCACGTTATGGTTTCGCCCTCGATGGCGAAACCTCACACACACACTCGTCCTGGCTTCAAACTGGTAGCTGGATGGCACCTTGGCGGCTACAATTTCGGATAACTGGCTGCTGCTGTTTCTGTTTTGATGCGTTGACGTTGATGGCTCGTGAATAGGCGATAACGATAACGAAAGCGGGCGGACACAACGATGGTCTAAGCTTCACTGGTTCGAATTCAATCGCGCGCGTTCCGTCTGCTCGCGTGCCGAATTCCTTAGTTACGAATTTCGTCCCCCCGGCAGGTGCTGCCCTCACAGGCAGCAACTAGGCTAAATAATCAGCGCTAATTTGACGTTTACCGTCACAATGCAAAATGAATAAGTATAGGACATGAGTAAGAATTAGTTTCATTAATAACAGCTGAATAATAACTGTTATTAATAAATAAACAATTAATAATTTATTTAAACAATAAGTTGTATATAAAACAAAAGCAAATGTTATTAACTAATTTAAATATTTCTTTTTATAAAATACTTCCGAAATTAATCAACTATAAAGTTCTATAAAAATTTAATAATTTTCTATTGTAAATATTGTAATATCACGTTAATTAATTTTATTAGTTAATAACTTTTGACGATACGATTCGCGATAATTGTATATTGTATAAAATCAACAAATAACAAATTCTGTAAAGTATCCATGTGTTAAAAGCTTACTATTAATAGTTATTTACTTGTAAATTAAGGAAACTCATTTCTCAAAATTCGCGAATGTCTCTCGAATATTCGATGACATCTCTCCTGTAAAAATAAGCGGGAAAATCTGTGTATAAATACGCC